TCCTGTTGCATCACCCAACTTCTACAGAGTTTCAGACATTCTCACATTATCCTGAAGAATTTTTTGATACACTTGGGAATTCATCTTCCCCTCAATGATTTCAAGCTGGCCAGGCCCTGATGCAGCAAAGCAGGCCCAAATCATGGTGTTTCCTCCACCATACTTTACGGTTGGGATGATGTTTTCATGAAGATATGCAGTGCCCTTTTTACACCAGATGTAGTGCTGCGTGTTCTTTCCAGAGTTAAATTTTAGTTTCATTAGTCCACAAAAAATGTGCCAATGTGCTCTTTCACAAACTTCAGGTGTGCAGCAATGTTCTTTTTAGAAAGCGGCGGCTTCCTTCGTGGTGTCCTGCCATAGACACCCTGCTTGTTCAACGTTTTACGTACTGTAGACTCATGAACACAGATGTTAGCCAGTTCCAATGATGCCTTCAAATATTTGGCTGTCACTTGTGGTTGCTTCTTCACCTCATTAATAAGTTTTCATTGTGCTCTTGGGGTCATTTTGACTGGGCACCCACCTCTTGGTAGAGTAGCCACAGTGTTTCCATTTGTAGATTGTTTGCCTAACTGTAGAATGGTGAATTTTTGAAGTCTTTGAAATCACTTTATAACCCTTTCCAGCTTTATGTAACAATTCTTGATCGTAGATCTTCGGAAAGCTCTTTTTGGCATGGCATGGCTCACATAAGCATATTCTTCTTGTGTGGAGCAAACTCAAAAGGTTTAAGTGGTTTTATCTGTCAAAGTAGCTCCAGTCCACACCGCCAAACTTATTTTCTTAAGACTCCAGGTATGCTAACACATGACTCCAATTAGCTTTTTTGAGGTCATTAACTCAAGGGTTCACATACTTTTTCCATTAGCACTATGAGGTTTTTATGGTTGTTAGACATGAAACATCCTAGTGACCTGTTGAAGACATATGGTTAATAAAGACATGAAAGGTCAGAATTTTGATGAAGATCAGATCACATTTTATGACAAATTAATGCAGAAAACCATAAAATTCCAAAAGGTTCACATACTTTTTCTTGCCACTGTAGATAGCCTAGCTACAAATAAATGTTATGTTTATCAAGCTGGATTGATTGTTTTCCTTATTATATCCCCAATAAAGACTACTTCATATCATCAACCATTTTTCTGTAATCTAAGACTTGTGCTTTATCCTTTTTGTGTGGACTGCTGCTGTGTGTAATATGTTGCTATGTTCAGGTATATAGCCTCAAGAGGATTGGTTATCTACTCACTATGCTTGGGATAGAATCAGGGTCCAGTTTCTTCTGAGGTGGACCAGCCAGTGAACCTGGGGCTCCAGGGAAGGCCCCGGGCATGCCAGGCTGGGGCCCAGCCATGTGTCCCCCAAACTGACCTGCACATTAAAGCAGTACATACTGGATGTGAGTTGTGTTTCCTGGCTGAAGTCTAAAGTGTAGAAATGTGTACAATGCTCTCTTTTGTTTAAATACAAACTGTAATATGTTCTGATCAGACAAAAACTAACAAAACATTGTTTATATCTATTATAAAGCATAGGATAGAGCTACTCACCAAATAAAATAGTTCTATGATATAAAGTAACCTGAGCAGCACAGTGGCATAGTGAAAAGCACTGTCAATTCACAGCAAAAAGGTTCTGGTGGGACCCCAATAGCAGAAGAGGTGTGAGTGGTTGTCTGAGCTAATGAGCACATATCAGTATCACTACTACTAATACAATTTTATGACAAAAAAACCCTGCAATGGCCCTTTAATGGATACTTCTTCTGACTGCTGTTGAGATCAACTTTTTTTGGCATACAGGGTCACTTTTACCTGCTTGCTGTGGGTATCCTGGTGGACCAGGCTGTTGGAAACCTCCAGGGCCTGGAGGTGGGGGCCCAGGGAAGGGTCTACCCACACCTGCCATCGGTGGCCCAGGCATTTGTGGACTTGTCATTGACATGCTTGCCTGGGGTGACTGTGATGAAGACATCTGGGGTGACATGTTGAGTGACTGCGAGCCTGGAAGCATCTGTGGCTGGCCCATTGCTGGAGGAGGGGGTGTTTGGAAAGGCTGGTGGGCCACAGAGCTTATTGGAGGAGGAGGGCTCTGCATGGGACCTGGGCCTACACAAGGAAAAAAGCAGCCACAACACCTGGTGAAAGCATTCTTAATGCCATTTTTCTAATCAGAGGAGAAAATGTATCATTCAAAATTTGAGGCACTAATTGTGTGGAAATCAACAGCACTCATTAACAGATAACTAAGCGGTAAACTAGCCGTGCATCACCAGTTTAAACATGACTGCTGGGTTTCTATTGGAAAAAAAAAAAAAACTTTAAAAAGTTATTTAGCTGCTGTTATGAATGCCACATGCTGCTTTATTAGTAAAAAGTAATCAGTAATTAGAAACCCTACCATAGTTGCCCAGGTTCAAGGCGCTCATCTCATTGGTGAGCTGCTGCGATGGAGGTGGGCCACGTGAGGCCATGCTGTTGTATGGTGACTGTGTAGGTTGTCCATATACAGCTGGTGGAGATGGGTACCTGAGGAACAGAACACAGCAACATTCAGTTGGTATAGCTTAATTTCGTATTGACATAGTGCCTACTACTGCTTGTAACATTTTGCTAATGTTGTCTGAAAGGCACTGCGAATCCTTCAACACTTTCATTACATATTCATAACCACTTCATACTGATTTCAGAGAAAATCAGCCATGCTGTTGCTGTTTGATGAAGACTGTTACCTCTGGGGATGAGCACCGTTCTGCTGCACATTTGGACTGTACTGACTGGACACTGGAGGTGGAGGCATACCAGCAGCAGAGGAGGCTGGTGATTTCAACATACCTGCAGTGAGTAACAGACACTATGTGTTCAGTATTTCTGTACGGTCTTCATTGTATCTGATGTAAAATTCATTCTAGATCCAAGCCTTTGATACTGTATAGTCAGACAAAGTAAGGCTTGTCAAAGCAACTGAACATGACTTCTTTCTCTCTAAAAATTTGAGCGCAGGGTTCTTAGAGACTCAGCAGTTTGGTCATCAATGTATGTGTGTGTGTGTGTGGACTGAGGCTGTCATTTTAAAGGAACACTACACACAGCTGGCTAAGTGTGTAGTTTTGCTTGAACAGGGCTCCAGACTGCGAGTGGCCACCTGTATTTTATGACCAAATTTATTCAAGGTGTGACTGACTTTTTTTTCAAAGATTGCATGAGGTGTGACTACAAAATAAACAGCTTATCCACAAATAATGGTCTCACTGTGAAAACAGTGGATAAATGTAACAATGTCTGTGATACTGTCATCACAACATTTATTTGCAGGTCTGTCACTGGACATTCTATTAAATGTGTTCGATCCACACTGATTCAGACACACGCGTCATCTCCAGACCCCATTTTTACACTTTGAATTAATTTTTTCCTTTGACGCATTTGAAGTGTAATCGCAACAGCTCCTTAGATCAGGGAGATCGCCTGTTAGCTGCAAACTAAGACATGTTACAAGCCATTAATCATAAACTGCAAAACACTTCAGGCCTGTTATTTTGAAAGTATTTCTATTAGCCCAAAACGGTATCTTAAACTTAATCTGAGAAAGCTTCTGTTTCTGTCATGGAGCTTGCCAAATAAAAGTGCAACAACCATGTTTGCTGACAAAGGAAAGTTCTTAACCTGCAGGTGGAGTGGTGAATGCCTGAGGTGGTCCCCCGTAATGCCCGTAGAGAGGCTGTGCAGGACCAGTTCCAAATCCACCTTGGTAGCCCCCCATCCCAGGCTGGGCCTGAGAGTAAGGGGGTGCAGCAACATAACCCTGTTGGCTCATTTTGATGGGACGGCTGTCACTGTCTTCTCATGCCAAGACGAGTGAGTTTTCACAACCTGTGAAGTTGAAATGGGTTCATCTAAATCTTGTAGGATGCATACATACACTTTACTGTTTCTAAATCACCTTAAGGGATTTATTGTATCTGTATTTTGTAACAAGAAAACAGAAAATATAAGAAACAGAAATATAAACATTTCTGATTAAAAGCCTGCCAGTCTTGGACAGTTTGCTTCAGGCATTCAGATTCACACTGCTCATATATTTCCATAACACACCTAGAACATTAACAACAATAAATGATATGTGACTTCATGCAGTCATCCACACCGGTTTACCTTTGACATTGCTTATTGAGAGATAAAGCAGGCCTATCTATGGCAGTGTTGTATCTTCAAGTGACTACATGAATTGTTTCGGTTTTACTTTCAGAACTACAATTCAGTGACGACTTTATAAACTAATACGAACAGTTTACCCAAGCATTTGTATTTATTCTTGTAAATGTTCGTAAATATTTGTCGCCGACAGCATCACATCACTTGACTAACGGGCTACAGTGTAACTTTAAGTTACGACTAAAAACCAGTGGGTTTCTGTAGCTATTTTCTATTGTGTCAAACTTTTTAAAACAAGCTAATGAGCTTTGGCACAGCTGGGTCAACTATAATAATAGCTGCGTAATGACACCTCCATGAATCATCATGTGGGACATTGTCATTACACGGTAAATCAGTTTTAACGTTTAAACCCAAGAAAACACGCTAAATACACAACCACTGTTGAGTTGATAAGATAGGTGTATCTGCCACTTCGGAGAACTGCCACGTCAAAGACCGTTATGATGGCTACAAACCTGAGCATCCCTAACCTTTCTTCAGTTCACATCCAGCTTAACGGGCACACGCTTCTCTCTTTGTATGACAGTACAGTATTCTAGCTCTAATATAGCTTAATACCTTATGGAAAGGGCGCTGACTTCAGTGTAGGTTACACGTTGATTAGAACATCTTGCTAGCTACGTGGAAATTACTACAAAGTTTTCCTTTAAGCCAGAAAAGTACGCAATTCAAACAAAAATACGTTCAAGTAGAGACCTATCTGAGATTCTGTGTAATTACACGTTTGTACTGTCTACATTATTTGGAAACACTGTCGTAGTTTTATTTACCTGAATGCTGGTCAGAGTCCTCCCTGCTAATGGCCCTCAGTGAAAACGGAATGCCACGTCAAACTCCACCGAGGCACCGGTCGCTATGTTAGTTACGCGACGACAATCACCAGAAACTACAAGAAATTGACAATTTCCGGGTTTTGTTGTCAAAATAAAATCCTTAATGTCGAATAAACGTTCTTACACGACATAAATGAAGCAAATACAACACTTGTTTCTAAGAATAATGTTTTTACACATTGTTAAAATATTTTGACGTTCTGTCTTTGCAGCATTTGTTTAAAAAAATCTTTACATTATGCTTTTATATAAAAGTGTAAACAGCTTAACTTCCGGCTTTAAACCAGAATCGTGTCTGACGCTACACGCATGCGTGATGCACGTTATACACGTCAGCACAGGAACGAAACACGTCCTGGTGGGGCAAAATTTTAGCATGTGAATGAGACTAATAAAGGAAAATGACAAGAACCCCGTAATTACTTAATTAGGAAATCGATAGGCAACTGCCACAAAACCTGACAGCCTATAACTTAATACATAGGCTACCTTATAATGAACAGGGGTAGACAATGGGTGTCCTACCATTTATTCCCAAAACATATCGAAGGAGTTTACATTTAGGCTAAGCAAAAATCTAATGTTTTAATATGTGTGTGTTTTTATATGTGCTTTTTGCAGTCTTTTAAACAGCATTAGATTATCTCGCAGTGTGATGAAATGCAGTGAACAAGACATATCATGGAACAGTTAAATATAGCCCAATAATCAAGTTTAGACCGGGTTCTTTTCTTTTGACCCTTGTTTTTTTGTGGGGAGAGCAGCTATAAAAAGGAAAACACATTTCCTCTAAACTACAGCCGGATGAAGTTTAAATGTTGAATCGTGAATTTGATGGACAGGTGGTTGCTTGTGGGTATCTCGATCCCCAGACCTCTACAACCACACAGTAACATTAATAAATCAATGAGACCCACAGAGAAAACAAACAAGGATGAAGCTGCTGTAACAGCCTGCCTGTCAAATAAGACGAGCTCAGGGATTTGCCGCACAGCAGTCTCATGTTTATAGGGAATTGGACAGCTATGGCTTTGTCCGCTCTTCTGGGCTTTTATGGCCCTTTTTGCAGAGGTTAGATGATCTTGTGGCACCTGTAATATTCTTTATGTAAAGTGTCTTAGGGTGATTTTTGTTCTGAACTCGCTCTATACAAATAACATTGAATTGAACTGAATCTTCTCCATCGGGATGCTATAGGTCTGTCACTTTAGGCTGAGTGCGGAGTATAGGTTCACTGAGACAAGCAGCCGATTGCATGCAGCGCCTGCAGGCGGGTCCGTATTCTGTGACGTTTCTCAGGCGGGCTGGACTCAGGCAGAACAGATGATGGGGATTATACAGTGCTGCGGTAGAAGTGGGTTTTGTAGAGTGCTGCTGGCTTGGCTGTCAGCTCGATGGTCGAGCTGTGGAGGTTTGGCTGAGGAGATATTCGCACCATGGGCACCGGGAATTACATCTGCGTAACGCTGCTTGGTGGCGCACCCTGGGGATTCACCCTGAGGGAAGAAGAGGGGGACACCTACAGACCTCTTCTAATTTCCCAGGTACCCTATTTGTGTGTGTATGTAGGTGGTCTGTTAATATTAGGGTATGCTAATGCCAAACCATTGTTAAGTCACCCTGGGCTTTACCTAAAAAAAATAATAACCTAATGAAAGTTTTACTAGTGTTATTCTGGAGATCTTATGAAGTTCCCCTAAAGTACCGTATCTGTATTATGTCTGTTTTGATAGAATTTCCTTGTCTTCAGTTAAATTTTTCCAAGTTGAACAACTGCTGATAAGAGAGAATGTACTGGGTGTAGTGCATGTCACTGCAATTTTGTGTGCCTTGGCTCTGTTTTGGTGAGAGATTCCTCAGGCCCCTTATATGGTCAAGACTAAGAGACAGTGTGAAGCTGAGGACTGTGTGATCCGTTATCACTCATGAAGATTATAGCTGGACAGCAGAGGAGTAACTGACCTGAAGAGTTATAGGTAAACTATGGGCGTTATCTGCAAGCAAATAAACTTTTGGATGCTCAGCTGAAACAAAGATATGGCCGTGCAGATATCACTTTGAAAGAGCATTCAGATATGTTACAGGAGGGAAGCTAGGCAAATTTTAGTTTGTCTTATATAAACACTTTGACTGCATGACATTTGCTTAACCCAACAATGTGGTAATACATCTTTGGGGTAACAGTAGAGAACTGAATCTGCCCTCACACGATGAAGCCACTTTTCTTATGACGTACGTACATGCATGGTAGGCTATAAGAGGAACATGGCATGATACTGTTGTTAATGGTATTAGTCTGTTATATTTTCACATAACGTCTGAGGTGATGCTCAGTAAAGTACCTTTTCCCATCTTGTCATGACACAAGCAGAAATTTAACTATAAAATTTAACCAACATTTTGGTTGTAAGGTGACTGTGATCACGTTATCAGAGATAAATGTCTATTTAATAAATAGACATTGTGTGTCAAAGGTACACGTACAATATTAATTAATTTCATATATACTTTATGCTCTGAACAACAGCAGTACTACATTTTACATACATAATGTTTATAATTTCACTGTGTATTGCAGGAGTTAATTCTGTGACTTTTAGTGTTTTTTTCAATTAAGTGCAGATCTTATTTATTTAGTCTCTTCTTTTGGACAAAATGACAAAATCGAGGACAGATATTTGAAACATCTTGCAACGTTTAGAGCATCTGTGTCCTTTATGCGAGATTGTCTCCTATTTCTCATGCTTGTTTACATTTTATTTCCCTCTTAAAATGTACAGTCTAATTTTAACATACACGTGGTGTTTAGAATATTCTAGTCTCCAAAATGTTCTCATTTATTGTTTGCCTATTAAAATGACATAGCTATATACTGCATGATGCATATGCCCCAGTGTAGAACATCTGGGCTTTAGTCCACCTCATCTGGAAGGCATAACTCTAAACATATCCCCAGACTCTTGTGGGAACAACAGAGATCCAAGTCTGTTTTCTGTAAAAGTCAACAAATATACCAAGATCACGCTGAAAATTCTGAAGCTAGAGATTCTCCTGTGTCTGATAAAATGATTTATAAAGTTTCTGCTGAATGCAGTGCAAACTGTTTGGTTTCCTGAGAAAACGTGATTGTCTAGTGCACTGACAGGCAGTACAGTGTCAGGACACTTAAAAGATTCATTCCATATAAGGGAGGCTGTATTTTTCTTTTCTTTTGAAGTCTTGGCCTGAGTACACAGTTGATAAGGTCACTTATTTTTAAAGCTGCAGAAATGGCATAATACAACACTTTTAACATCACGACCAACGTCTGTGGATAAACATGGAACGCTTGTATATGAACAGTGGCATGTGCATGTTGGATGTCCTAGCAGAAGTTTAAATCCCACCAACCTGAACAGGAAACATTTTGGCCTCCTAATTACTAAGGTATGTCATCTTGGTATGTGGAATGTCAGTGTGTATCAGATCAGTTTTGGGTTATTAAGTACAGCTCAAGTGAATTATAGTCACAGTTTGAGTTAAAGTCCTCTATGACCGGGTGTTCCTGTCTCAGAGCAAAGATGGCTCTTGTTGCTGATGTTTCAGCCGTCATAGTGCACCATAGGAACCTTATTAAGGTGCCAAACAATCAGCAAAATGCCATTGTCTCGTTGATTCAGTGGCATTTTCCCAGAATAAACAAAGTGCCCCACAGCTCCTTTCAGTATTGGAGGTTTTGTATTGTGTTTTTCAGCAGATTACATCCCAAGTCTGGGAGAAAGTAGTGGCTTTTTTGCACTTTAGATTATCTAAAAAAGTAGCAGTGAGTTGCTGTGTTCCTGGCTGGGAGTTCTCATTTCCAGTACCTTGCAAAAGTGAGGCTTTAATTTAGGTGACCAGATTATTATATTGTTTTAGTAACATAGTTTAACCCAAATTAAAGAAAATAATACAGGGACCAATAAACACCCAAATACATTTGATAAAATAAAGTGCAAAAAGGTTTTCACAGTTTACTGTAATTTGTCCTTCTAATGGAAAATATTTCTCTCTAAAACAAACAAACAAAATGAAGAATAGATGAGTAAATGATGACATTAAGTCGAACTCCCCCCACATGGTGTGAGTCTAAAAGCAGCTGGAAAATATTTGCTTGAAATGTTAAAACATAATTGCTTAAAGCTGTGAAGGGCAGAAACCCCCTGGGAACTATGTGGACACATTATTCAGTCCAGTATTTTTCTGGGAATTTCTTTTGTGTGTCAGTCTATTAAAGGGATAATTTGATAAAATGGGCAACTGGGGTTAACACAAGTATGCCTAACTGTGGCCCCACATGATGTAAATTTGGATGATCGGAGCACTGTAAGTTAAGAAAGCACTTTATCACTGTTTATTCATTCTCCTGTCTGACACCAATAGCCTTTATTTGTTATTCCCTCCAACATAGATACCGTGGGCCATGCAGTTAATGACAAACAGGGCTGGGACGGTAGATGGTGAACATGGCCTGATACTGTGTGTGTGTCCCTGTGTTGCAAAGAGACACAACAACAAATGTTTCTCCTCCTTTTTTGGAACACGAGTGGTTGCTGTGGTGTTCCAGACAAACCATCCTCGCTGTAGTGAGGTGTGAGCCCCCACAGACAAGCACACAGGTTCCCTTATAGGGCCTGTTTGCAGACTGTTAAAATCTCTTAAAAACTCAGGGATGGAGTCAGTTTTTTTTTTCTCCATGAAAGTTACTGGCTCTATAAAATAACTATATAATGCATGGTCTCCTTTTATTGCCCTGATCATTGCATGTGATAGACTTTTTGTGTTTGGTTCTTAATATATTTATGCTGGAATGCTCTGGGTGTCACTTCCCTGTTGCATCTGCCTCTGAAGTAAAAGTGAAAAGTTAAGAGAAGTAAGAGATGCTGAGCAGTTTCTTTGGGATGGTTTTAATATGGTTTTAGTAGAGCACATTGTGGAATCTATACTCTGCAATTGGAATACAAAACAGTACTTTTGGACTCACTGTAGTGTTTTCCCATTGCTCCTCTTTCTCCCTAGGCAGTGACAGATGTGTGGGTGCATCACCATCTAGTGGCAACATTGTGTTACTGCAAGTATCTAGGGTTGGATGAACAAGGAGGTGGTGCTGCAAGAGGACAGCAATCAGTATTTGTACACAAATTCCAAAATGTAAAACATACTGATTTTGTGACAGCAATCTTGAATGTTAGAACAACACAGTGTCATTTACACTTGGATTTATTTAACAACACTCTGCAAGTATCTAGGGTTGGATGAACAAGGAGGTGGTGCTGCAAGAGGACAGCAATCAGTATTTGTACACAAATTCCAAAATGTAAAACATACTGATTTTGTGACAGCAATCTTGAATGTTAGAACCACACAGTGTCATTTACACTGTGTTGTTAAAGGAAAGCAAGCGATGGATAACCATGGCTATATTAAGTTTTAAAATGCCTGAGGTAGAAGCTGTTCCACTGTTTATGTGGCTGCTGCTTGTCAGGACGGCCTTCAGGGGAACTTTAAGATAAGAAACCAGGGAGGCTGTTTTGCTTTTGTGATGAAATAATTCAACTTGAGGAGAGAGTGCTGCTACGGTATCATTAGCATGATGAATGTCAGAAGAGCAGGGTGATTTGCTTGTGCTTATTGTCATCAGAGGTGGACCTGTACTGACTTGATGTATCATGGGCAGTGTAAAAGGCCGATATGCAAATTTGTACACAGATTCTTTAGTGGAATTAGTCAAGACATAGATTAGGATACAGGACTAATAGGGTAAAGGAACTGAGTTGTGGAGTGTTATCTCTTTCAGCATATTAAGATTATGCTCATGGCATCACACTGAAGTAACCATTTATCCCTCTTGGCTGTATAAGTAGCCTTTTGTGCAAAATGTATGGGTCATTTGTTCTTATTAAATACTCTTATTAACCATTTTATAGGCCTCAGGAACCAATTAACAGAGACCGAAACATCAGTCCTTAGTGAGTGGTGCCCTTTGAATGGATCTGCACAGAGCTGACCTACAGCCATAATACACATCTTTATGGTTAAACTGAATTGTCACTTTTATTATTTCCACCAAGCACATGTCTACAATGTCAGTGACACTAAATGTACATTATAGTGTGAATCAAGGGCGAAATCTTCAGTCTGACTGTGGTCAGAACAGTGTGTGTGTGTGTGATTGTTTTGGAGGTGGTGGAAGAAGTACTCATTTCTTCAACTTAATAAAATTACCACGCTGTAGAAATACTGTTACAAGAATTGAATTCATGGATTCAGAATTTTACTTAGATAAAAATACAAAAGTACTAATATCAAATTAAAAATATGAAAAGCATAGTGCTTGTTGTTACTTATTTTTATGGTTTTGCCCATTTCAGAACATTGTTTATTTATACTTGTGTATAAATATCTGGCTAATTTTAACTATAGCATGTACTGCCAGATGGCTTAATACAGTAATACACCATAAAATGGACTGCACATACTGTACGAAGTGCTTCTCTAATTTAACAAACAAACCTCACGGCTGATGGTGGCAGTCTTGCCATGCAGGGCTCTGGCTTGGCTACCAGCACCAACTCGAGGTTCAGTCTCTTGCCAAAGGACACTTCGACATGTGGACCAGAGCAGCCTGGGACCAAGCATGTGATTAGTGGATGACCCCCCTCTACCTCCTATGAAGTGTAGTGGAGTAACATAACATGGAAACAGAAGTGTAACAGTTTTGAAAACAATGTGTAACCATGTCAAATAAACTTTAAGCACACAGAGTTTTGGTGGTGGGTAAGGCTAAGTGAGAGAACAGCTGTTACGCTTTCAAAACTGTGGTCACTGAATGCATTTAGTGCCAAAACTATGAAAAGTGATCCACAGTTTAGCCCCCACTGAATTATGTTATGTTCACTCTGTAAAGAGTTTTTAAAAATAGAGTTAGAGGTAAAGGTAAAATTTATTTATTCACATTGATGGAAATTACATTTAGTCATCATGAGCCATTAACATTTAAAACCACAAACATAAAAAAACTATACAATATATATTGCACTTTACCTCTGTGCTAAACGTAAATTACTGTTTGTTTATGCTAATTTTCTGTGTCATCGTCTTTGTCTGCAGGGTCGCCCTTTCTAACCCTTGTTAGAAAGTGAGTTTCTTGTTTATGCTCTAAGATTGTTTTCACATTGTTCTGATGAGAATTCATGTTAATGCATTTGACTCCTCTTTATGATCTAAAAATATTCTGAATACTGCTTCCCTCTTGCTTTCCAAGATAAAAATGGATTTGTGACCCTGACCTGGGGGAGAATGTTCTCTATTGTAAATTCAGCAGCGACTGACAGCGTTTCAAACATGAGTGATTATGATTGGCTGTAAATAGCAGCACTTTCATAGCTGAGCTGGGCTTGAGTGTTAGAGAGTAATTCTTATGTTTGGGACAGCTGTACAGCTGGGGCAGGACATTTGCATTTTGTGGTCACTGGCTGCTGTCGACCTCTGCCTGGTATGTGGTATGACTGTGGTGCTGTCATCCACAGGTAGAAGAGGGTGGCCGTGCCTTCCTGGCTGGAGTGCAGGAAGGCGATGAGGTGGTGTCACTCAACGGAAACCCGAGTGCCGATCTCACCCTTTTGCGAGCTTTTGCTCTCATTGACACATCAATCAACTGCCTGCAGCTGCTTCTCAAAAGGTAGTTTCACAGCCCTTAGATTAATTACAGAGAAGCAGTGCTGAGTTTCAGAAAACACAACACAAACACAGCATCACATGTGAAAATATCTGTATGTTCAGTAACACTGTGTATCATGACAAGTGAGCCATGTTGAAGTGTGGGGCCTGGACAACAGCAATGCAAAATGATTAGAGCAGCACTGCATTAGCATTTAGATAGCATGTTGTTTTTTGACCTGTGTCCTTTTGCATAATTCACTGAACCACTGACTGTCTGTGTGTGTATTAGTGAGTTAATGTGTGTCAACCATGCATAACCTCCAACTGGCCTGAAGTGACTGACATGCATCTGCTTAACCGTTACTCAGAGAGCATTGCCAGTGTGTTCATCAGGCTGGTGTGTTATTTTTACACATCACCGCAGGCACCCACATTTAAACTATAGAGGTATTCAGGTGTTTTGAAAGCTAGTTTATCCTAGGTCTTATTCTTTGTAGAAATAGCAGGACTATAACCACAGTAGATGATTCGTACTAAGAATGTTTCTATGACTGTGCAAATTGTGTCTCTGCAGACTAGGAGAGCAAATGACCTCAGCTTGTTGCTATCAAAATGTATTATATGTCACTCTTTACCACTTGGAGGAACACACTGAAGTCTAATAGACTTAAATTAATGAATGCAGTCACAGTTAATGACATTCTGTTGTGCTATTACTTGCTGACCTTGAAAGCAGACATTAGGCCAAGCGATGTTGATTAGTGATTACTTTCTACTTCAGTGCCCTGAACCTTTCATTTAACTTCCTGCATGAAAATTAAATTTATTACCTTGACAACTTCAGCAGCGGACAGCATTCTTCTCTTTGGAACAGCCCGTGTTGCTTATGTTAATGGTGTTGCTAATCTAATGAACAAAACAAATATTTGCGTGCACATCTTATATGGAAGATTATTTTAAATGCAGAGGTCCAAACAATTTCACCAACACCATGTTTATGGAGCCCTGTTTAGGTGCAGAGTCTCCTAGTCATTTTAAACAAGAAACGTTGCCCAGTTCACTCACTGCCATTCCCTCTGTCTTTTCTAACAGATACCGTTCAAACCTCCCTGACAACTATGAATTAAAAGAGGAATACTGTGGTGAAAGGGATTCTTCTGCTGAGGCTTTAAAGAGCACCACCCTCCACATCTTCTCCCCAAAGCACAGATCGCAAAGCCCAAAGGAACTCAACATATCCGAGTCCCAGGACAAGACCTACTACGGAGATCTGGACAGCGACATAGGGTTTCGCAAGGGACACCAGCTACATGCTCCCTCATCTGGTGATCAGAGAGGCTCGGGTTCTGTTTTAAAGGAAAATGATGAAGAAATACGACAGTGCTTCTCTCCTGGGGACGTGATCGAGCTCCAGTTGTCCCTGTCTAAGCAAACACTGGATGATGTGGGCAGCACATCTCTTGGGAGTGCTCGTGGGATTGAGGGGGAACCCTCAAACAGAGAGGCCCTCGAGAAGATCCATACCAACACCACATCGCACTACGTACCTTGCTCTGTCAGAGAGCCGCTTGGACAGCACGGGGTGGTGCTCAGTTCCCCTTCAGTGCTGGGGCAGGTGGAGGTAATTTTACAGCAGCCAGCAGCATCAGGAGCGGGGAGGGGTGGCCCCAGGATCAGTAGAAGTGGTGGATCTCAAGGCAAAGGAGAAGAAGGAGGAGGGCACCATAAGGGAGTTCCTGGGTCTTTTACTGTCTCATTTGAAATTCCCTCAGAAGAGACGACACCAGCAGAAGAACTAGACTCTGATTCTGAGGGGGATCGAGACAAACCTAATAAGCATCGGCCAAGGCACGCCAGTAAGTACCTCTGGACCATTTATATATTATTTGGCATTTCTTTTCGTTGCGTGTATGAGTGTGTGGTCAGTATGGTCTATTCTTATGGGAGAATCTGAAAGATATTTTTAAATTGACTTTGCATGCATTGCCACTCTTGGTGTCCATTGTGTGCATCTCAAAATAGTATGTGAATCTTACTGCAGTTGGTGGAGGGAGCTCATCCCTTTGAATGGAAGCAGATACATCAGAGACTAACCTGAATTATGAGAGAATCAACATGTAGTAGCAGGTCACTCTGAAGACGGTGACAGTCAACAAAAACTAAATATAAGGAAGCAAGAGGAAAAGTGATTTAACCGATTATGTGTAATAAGCTGCTGCGCTTTATAAAACATCTTTAATCCATTTGAAGAGCCTTGACGATGAATATGGAACCTGAGGCATTCCTCTGAGCTGAAGAGTAGGGCACATAAATATAACCCCAGCACACTGATGATGCCTGCAGAAGTGCCCTTTGACAGACACCAGCATGTGCTCCCCTCACCCGTTACCTGATCCTTTAAAACTGAGTGCTTTAACTGAGCTAAAAAGTGAGTTCGTCACTCACTCCCACTGTCTCCTCCACCTTCAGGTTAGTCTTGCAGGAATCTAAAAAGTAAGACTACTTGTTATATTTTTACAACATTGCGTTGTTGCATGATGTTTTGTGTGAGTTTGTAGTGTGACGTCTGTTTTCAAATTGGCTCAAGTGCCAGCAAATTTGACGGATGTAAAAAGAGCCGGTGCTCTTTAGTAGACCTTATGTGAACTTAGAAATGAGAACTGGTAAAGCTGCTCTGGTCCTGGTGAATTTATTGCGAGGAGGCTATCTTTAACCTTTCTCCATTTCTAATGTTGGCTGCTTTATGGGGATTAACACGATTTAATGTTGTTGAATTGTCTGCGTACAAATAAGGATATTAGACATGGGTCAGAGAATTTTGTAATTACTTTACGGGTTGATGTTTATGCTCAACTGAATGAGCAAATTTGCAATAATACAATTCACAAGAAGGAAAAGTACATAGCCATAGGTGGAGAAATACACTCACAGATGGTAGTTTATTAGGTGCACCAAGCTACAACTGCAGTCAGATCCAGCTGTAGTTTGTGCTGCTGATGAACTGTACTGTTACACATAGAGCTCATTCTGTTACTAAACCTTGCCTAATGACAATAACATTCATTTTTGAAAGTCACATTTTAAGGAATCCATTAATACAGTCTTTGAGTTTATATTTATTGTGGATTTGGATATCATTATTAATCATTTATAAGTCTGTTGTGTTTTCTGCTTCAGTTTTTATTTGAACAGATATATTTTAAATGATTTTTATACAAGGAAATGTTGCACTGACAATAACTGATTTGTTTGTTTTGTGTAACTTAAAGCTACAGTATGTGACTTAAGGTAGCAGTAGCATGAAACTGCAAATCAACCCACTCTGCTCCGCCCAGCGCTCCCTCTCCCTGCTCCACTGTGCTCTGCTATGACCGCTACGCTCCGCCACGCCTTGCCCAGCTCTTCAGTTACTTGTCCTCATGAAATTATAAGAAATGAGAATGCAGCACATCTCACTGATAAAGCAGAAATAATTGGAAATTTCTGATTGGTTAGAGAGGTCAGTCCCGCTCAAAACCTTTTAGAAGCTAAAATCCCTTCACCGCTGCCAGTGCTGTTCAATGAGTCTGGGTCACAGGAGACTTCGACACTGCCTCTTCACATTAGGACAAGTTTTGGAGCAGATTTCCACAACAAAAATATTTGAAAAAAGTTACATACTGTAACTTTAACTTTGTCACCTATTTTACTCTTGAGATAAATGCTGAACCAAAATGGGGCCTTTATAATAAGATATTTTATTTTTCAAATGACATTTAGGGTGGTAATATTATATAAATAGCTCTTCACGTTAATTTTATAAAATTTAGTCCATTACAGCCACATGATCCAGACAGCTACAGTATGTAAGTATTGTCTTGAAGTTGTTAGTGAACAAAAAGCTGAAAAACACAAACAAAATTGTTACTAATGGGGACACAGAAAAGCAAATCCATTCAAAGACTGAAGTGTTTTATCTTAATCATAATCTTAACTCCCCACTAAGTTATTAATATCTGCCTTTATTTTTATTCCCCTGTTTGGACCCTTCATTCTACACACTGAAATCTCTCTCTTCCTTCTCTGTGCAGGGCTCAGGCGTAGCGAGAGTTTGTCTGAGAAGCAGGTGAAGGAAGCCAAGTCCAAATGTAAACATATTGCTCTTCTTCTTACGGCCGCTCCGCCCAACCCCAACAACAAGGGGGTGTTGATGTTCAAGAAACATCGACAGAGGGCCAAGAAATACACACTTGTGAGCTACGGCACAGGAGAAGACCAACCAGAGTACAGTGACGAAGAGGACGAGGAAGAAGGAGACAATCAAGCCACCCACACTGTTAAATTCACCCTTGTGGCTCCTAGCGATTCTGATGTAGACAAGGATTTTCTCACTAATGCCCATAGTAGCAAAGCTGTGCTAGCTATCACCTTGGACAAGGGTCTCCTTGATATTGAAAAGAACCTGAACAGTCAAGCAGAGATGGAGTGTTTGCCTGAAACCAAGGGGAAGGGTGCCCTAATGTTTGCCAAACGGCGCCAGAGGATGGATGAGATTTCTGCTGAACACGAGGAGCTTAGGCGCCAGGGGATTCCTGTGGAAGGAGGGCACGAGGCTGAAAAGAAGACAGTGGAGCAATCTTACATGCAGTCAACAACAGAGGGCCATGCTTACATGGATGTAAATATACACCAACAAAGCCAGCACCAGCAACAGTACCGGCAATATCAAGATCAAGAGTACTATGAGCAACAGCAGAACTACCAACAACAGTGTCAGCAACAGCAGTATGATCAGCAGCATTACCAACAACAGCAAAGGTATCCGCAGCAGCAAGAATATCATCAGCAGCAGCAGCAGCAGTATTCTGCAGCTGTCAATGGTACACTCCAACATCAAACCAGTGAAATGCACACTTCTTTCAGCAATCGTACTGCAAAGCCCTTCTCAGTACAAAACATGGTGGCTACCCCTTATTCTCCTGCAGTGAGTGGGACCAGTCAAGATTCGGTGGGCCAAGGAGAACAGATAGCTTCCCGTGATGAGCGCATTTCTACCCCTGCAATTAGAAGTGGACTTTTGATGGACGCAAGGAAAAGAAGTACTGGCAAGCCCATGTTCACATTTAAGGAAGCACCAAAAGTATCACCTAACCCAGAACTGCTGACCCTCGTCAACAGGAGTGGGTGTGTGGGGAGAGAGGAACTGAGGAAGACTACCTTAGCCTTGGGGCTGAGGCTTGTAATTTCCTCCAGTCTGCACGTTTTAAACACAAGACTCCTCCACCAGTGGCTCCAAAGCCCATGATCAACCCCAGCTCTCCTCCTTGGTCCACACAGATGGAAATGACCAACCA